AGATAGATAGACAGACAGACAGACAGACAGACAGACAGACAGATAGATAGATAGATAGATAGATAGATAGATAGATAGATAGATAGATAGATAGATAGATAAAATATATATATATATATATATATACATACGATACTGTAAGTTTCAACACATACCCTTTGCGGATGTCATTTAGCATCTCCAGGTCATCTGCAATACGTTGTCGTCGCTCCTCTGCACTTTCATGCCGGTTCTGTACCTCAACATATCTACCATTTCCACCGCCTGCTTGATTCCTGGCATATGCCAACGCTGGTGCGCCGCCCTCCACACTGTCATGTGTATGAGTGCTCGTCGTTCCCTCTGCTACACAAAATAACGAGAAGTCTCAACCTGCAGTTATGATTTATGATGCCTGAACGACAAAAAACATGACTGTACGTGTTGCAGTTATGATTTGTAATGCCTGAACGACAAAACACATGGTGTGTTGCAGTTATGATTTGTAATGCCTGAACGACAAATCCCATGACTGTATGTAGGCAGTGGGCGGGTATACCTACCGCATCACTAAACAATAAAGCTCATAATAAGTTGCAAGAGTCCACAGATTATTCTTGATGACAAAGACACTTTTTGTCATGCGGCCTGGATGATGGCCGCAGCGAGTGTATTATACAGTTGAAGTAATTGCACGCTCAATTCAGCTATTCTTCATGTCATATGACTCTGTAGACGAATAATACGAACAAATACATCGCGCAAATCAATGTTGCCGCAAGGTAACACACTCAATTCTGTTGCAACCACAGTCAGCACAAATCGGATATAGTCGATTCCAGCGCATGCTTCTGATAACTTCGATCTGTCAACAATTGCTGAATTTAAACTGCAATTCTATAGCATTTACATTGTCTCCTAATCTACCACGAAGAAACATACACCTCACACGTTTTCTATCCGATGCCTCTCGGACCTAAACTTCATTCAGAATTTAATTGGGGCGCAGAACAACAAGCAGAGCTTCTGAAACGGAGCCATCGCAAACCGGCCGTACTAACAGGTGATAAAAGTCCAATAGGTCGACACAACACAATACAAGATATTTCACTAAATGCTTTATCTTTGGAAGTTGGGGTTTGCATACAGCTACATGTCGTCTTATAGGATGCATTGGAACGATGCTAACAGTAGTACTGTAAATAGAGAAGCCTTGTGCGTATCATTTGTTTACGAAAAGGAAGAACCCTTCAGATCCCGCCTGCCATTCAAACATTTACACAGGACATCTAAGGGTAAGTGCAGACCACTCATGGGTTAGAAATTTATGTAAACACTTCCAATGGCATAAGAGTATACACTTGTGACAATGAACGAGGTACACAGGAAATCGAGATCGCTTCAATTATTCAAATGACATCGTTACACGTTGCAAGTCAACCTCGTTTGAGCCTTCGCAGGATACTTTGTGGGAAATGCACACACAATATATACAAATGGGTCCAACAAAACAAGCTAACACAGTTTCGGTGTGAGAGCCTACAAATGATACGATCGAGAATGTAGTGCGTGTTGTCACTGTTTACCACGCACATATATCATTTATAGATATGTCACAGAGCACATTGTGGAATAGGTGCAATATCGCGATAGGCTGACTATGTAGACATATTCAGAGCCTTAATCAGTGCGAGCAAAGAATCCACAGTACAATACGTGGGATTATCGGGAAGTATATACGTATATGCGAACCAACTGCCGACACATTGTATATGGGGTTAACGCAGTATTGTTTCATACAAAGGCAAACGCTTCACGAACCGGGGAGGGAGAGGAAGTAGTGCGATGCCGTGATTTGACCACTGGAATACACATGCAGAACTGTCAAACGGTTGTAACCGATCCAACAGTGTTCATGCTGTTCATAAGTATACCTAGAATGCCGAACGGACGGGACGATAGGCACACCGAGAGACGCAACAGCTACACAGTAGTTACGAGCTGAACGTATACACACCCCATCATAGTTGCACCATTCGAGGGTAACACAGAAGACTCGATAATACTATACCTAGCATATGCTTCGTAGTCTCTGATGAAAATTTACACACTCAACTACCATAGCATGATCCGTATAAAACAAGTACATGTCGCCCTGTATTGGAGTCCACCAATAGGCCACTGGGCACTACCACACGGATACGGTCGTTTATAGAGACATCACCACAGCTGTGCTAACGGACATGAACGCAGCTTGATTCCAGTGTAGTAGCAACACATGTATAAGAGAGCATATAACAAGCACAGCTTCGTAAATATTTAGTTGATTCACTAATCTATGATCAGTATACGACCGTGCACAATTTGTATAGCCAAAACTACCTTCGCTCAAGGTCACTTGCTGTCCGTCAGGTAATATCTCATGCATAGGCGAATATACCACCGAAACAGCACTGAAGATCACGCACACAATCAAAGCTGTGCTTAAGATTGCCCAAATGAATCCGAAATTGATCTCGAGTGTCTGTTCGGGTTTTGGTCGCCTGATGAATGCCCGACTATTTCTTGGAGCGGAAAGTGCCATTGTGCAAGAGAAGAGCGTACTTTATGCCAGTCTGCCTGTATTAGCGGGTCTAAGTAGCAGGATAAAGAGGGTACTTTTATGCCAGCGCGTCTAAGTTGCAGGCTGCTTGCGGACAGTATGGCTTCTATCGCTTATAGCTCTGCAAATGACATGAACGTCCTTGACTATGGCAATTTCGTACCTGCCAGGGCAGCCAGGCTGCCGTTCTGTATTTATTTTACTTTTTTGGTTTTTAAAAAAAAATTTACGTCAAGCACATTTTGTTTTAGCTTGGCAAGCATTCTATTGTGAGCAATAAAAGTCTCTAAGGCAACGTAGCTTCTGATTCGCTCTCTAAAATTAGAATGACCGGGATTTTTTTGTCCACTGACATTACATACGCGTGAGAGACTGTCACAGACCACTGAGTGAGATCAGTCTCACACTCTCACAGTTCTCAGAGTCTCAGACCCACTCTGTGGCATTTCAACATTCGATGTCCCAAAGCCTCAAAAGTCATGAGTCATGACTCACGAGTCAACAACCTTGAGGTCACATAGGCTCATATAGATAATAGGTGTGCGTCACTCCTCCCAAATGCGAGACGTACCGTAGTTTAACGGATTCCCAATTCTCCATGCATTCAGCGGTTTTAAACACAAACTATATAGAAGACGTATAAAATTGCGACAGGTGAGGAGCATAGCCTCATAGAAGTTGCATAGACTTGCATAACCCGTTGGGTCTTCCCTGTTTTTAACTATAAACTCGATTACGCAGTCGGCCCTGTCTACGTACCAGGATTTTGACTGCGCTACTCTTCCCAATGGGCAATAAAAAGTAACGTTTTTAAATCATTAGAGAGCTGTCGACAGGGGTGTGATAGTTGAAATACAACCTTCACCGTCCAAACTTATTATGTAGTTTTCGCAGCACCATCCAAACTTATTGTATAATTTTTTCAGTACCATCTAAAGTTGATCGACTATCAAAATATGGCATCGAGAAATATGACAGGCGCCTGTCGCGCGACTGTGTATCTGAGAATTATTAGACATACATATCTTTATAATATTTCTATAATTAATTAACGAGACCCGGTCCCGTAGTTAGCACCACCCGCCTTACGGACCAAGTCGTCAAGCACCTTGTAGGCCACATCACCCTTGTCATTGGCGAGTACCTCAGCCGCCACACTCTTGATCACGGCCTTTACCTCACTCTTTTGCACCGAAACCTGTACAATTCGGGTGGTCTCCAGTCAGATAGCATATCGGGAATCGCGGTGTAATACATATGACAAGTCAATAGCAAATGGTAAACAAATGATAACTATCTAGGTGTCATCATTTCCTCCGTGTGTGTGCTGGATGTCTGCGACGGCCAATCTTTCGAGATAGAGAACGAGTGTAGTAAGGAGATCACGGTTCTATGATAATGCTACAGAGCCATTCAATTGTTTCAGAAAATAACCACAGGTCATATACACAGTGCACTACATTTCGGATTTAAATATGCTATAGACTTTGAAAACCAATCAACGTGAACAGCAACACACTCTTACCTTAGCTTTCTTTAAAGCACCGACGTTATCACCGATCCAAGTGATCAACGCAAATTTGGCGCGCTTGCTTAGTTCGTCACCTATTGTATGGCGATTGATATGTGTTTTCGTGAGTATTCGTGAGTATGGGATCCAGATCGTGAAATATAATCCATTTAAAGCAAGATTAGCCTGCTATAAGCTTACGACCTACAATTTTCTCCAGGCTAGGCGACATAGATTGCGCAATTCGCAAAGTATCCAATTAGAAATTTGTGTGTGTGCTACATTAAATAGAGTTGGCCAAGCCACGTGCACATATTTTTACAGGTGGATCTTTAGACGTGGGATTACAACACAGCACATTCATTCAATACTCACCAGTCTCTACGCGAACAAAAGCGTACGCCCTGATGTCATCAGTAAACTTAGCCAGCAAGTTGTCGTAACCAGTGCCTGTATGGAGTGTACTAGAACGTCAAGATTGGTGACCGTACGTACACTAAAGTGATTGTAATGTGAATAAAAAGGTTTCAGATGATTTTTGTATATACACGACCGCATTCAATGCGCATCGTTGATCTTAGTCCATAAGGATTCAGGTCTGCGTTGACATAGATCGGGGGCAGTGGTATCCAAAAACCGTGTGAAGTAACACCTCGACCTTCTAGGACCACATTCGAATAGGTATATAGCTTTGCGATCAATTCAAAACATAGCTCTAACCGAGATCACGACCACGCAATTCAATCGCACCCTATTTTCCACACTCTAGAAGCGCAGAACCATGTATATGCCTTCTGGCATTGCAACTTACAAGCGTTCTGAATATAATTCGCTTTGCATCAAAGCCCTACTTGTCTGTATACGCTTTGTCTTAAGCAACAGAACTGACTCATACTTTCACATGAGAATGTGCATCACACACTATAATAATATAACGTAATCGTGACGTATTGTGAGTACGATCATATTATGAATCTATATTTAAGCTATTCTGTAGCTATACGTAAACACCAAAAGAGCGAACTAGTTAAGGTTGCCTTGAACCATATCTGCCCATTATATTTCGTGTGTGCACTGTGCATCGCCAGAGTAGCTCTGCGTTCACATGAAGCAGGCAAGTACTCGCGAGATATACATATAGGACTGAGGGGTCCCCGTATTGACCCATCACCAAACGTGGTGCTTTATATCAGCACTAGAGTAGGAGATAGCAAGCACGGGAGAAGTACAGATATGCATTTGATACAAAAGTCTATAAAATAATAATTACACACCTTTAGACTCTAGGTAGACCTTGTTAGCATCGTTGTATGCTAAGAATAACCTGTATTGATATGAGTTCAAGATAGTCTGAGAATGAAGCATGAGTTGCGATGAAATAGGCCAGAAGGGTTCACACCAAATACTGTTTTTTCTCATTGTTATGACAAACAAGTGCTTTAAGCATGTATATAATAAAGAAAATATGCGTTCTTCTTATTTTGAATGAATGTGCATGTCAGTAAAGCTCGTATATAATTGTTGATTGTTCCGCAAACAGCACCTGTATACAAGAGTAATTTAAGTACGCACAAACAGTTTCTTACCATTCTGTGTCAGAATTATCGTTGCGCACGTCTTCGTACGCCTCTGTGATGGTGTCTTGATTCTCTAGAATAGACATGGTTACTCTATATTATATATCGACGTAATACGAAACTGAAGTACTTCACAAGTGAGATAGCTCATATAAATATCATCTATCTAAGCATCTCTCTGAACAAACAGGTCCTATTATCAAATATCAATAGAGTATTCTATATCGAACTCTCGCATCCGTGCGAACAGACCCCTGTGATGGCTGAAAGCCTTACTGTAAATAAACAAAGAGAGGGAGAAAGACCACAAACAATTCAGACTCTATAAAGCATTGGTTTCATCTTAAATTCTTAACTGTCCTAAATCCCCAATAGCTCTGTGAATATTCTGTGAATATAGGGACTTTGCGACACCCAAAGTACGTTTAAAAGTGACCTCGCCATGTTTTAAACTATTTTGACTTCCAAAAGAACCGGATAACCGTATTGGGCTACATCAAATCTGTGAGACCCAATCAGAATTACATTGCTACATCGACTTAGCTACTTCTAAATATGTATAAATATAAATATATCATGCATTTACATACGTATGTGTATATTTACATGCATGCCTATAATAAATGAATATAGATACACGAAGCGTAGTGTTACCCTCGAAGTGATATCATATACTGCCGCTGAATAATATCTTACTAAAAAACATTTATATATGGATATAGATACACGAAGCGTAGTGTTACCCTCGAAGTGATATCATATACTGCCGCTGAATAATATCGTACTATTCGATCATGGCGAGAATACAGACTACTATGTTGCTTGTGAGGAATCTGGAGCAGTCCTTAAAATTCTACACAGAGGTATTTAAATAGTGAATATTGAACAAGGTAGATACACTTTTTCATATGTTTTATTTTTGAATACACCAGTGTAATGAACACCTACTACTATCCTTTGGCCTGTTTCTTACCTATAGATCATATCCCGTAGACTACAGTGCCTATTTTTTTTATCTAGAAAACGTTAAGCACCGAAAACGAGCCATATATTGGCATATAGAGTGTAGGAAAGGGACTGTAGGTTTACCTAAACCCCCTGAAAATACACATACGCGCGAAACTGAGTGCTCATCGGCAAGAGTATCGTATGCGTGCTAAAAAATGTATTCATTTTTACCTCTTAGATTGGAATAACAGACGTTAATCTGTGCACCTTTTCGATTTCCAGCTATATATATATATATATATGTATATATATATTTATATATATACATAATAATATTATA